GGTTGAACCCATGATTCTGCCTATTTAAGTGATTCGCCTTCTTCGCAGGCCCCATAGATCTGCGGAGAAGCTCCTGGTACTTATGGCAACCTTTATAACTAGCCATGTGATCGTGAGAACAGTGATAGCATGTGGGCAGAGCATCTACAGGACGTGTACATTGTGTGGTTTGGTGATTTTCACCACACCTGGCACAATTTGGATGTCTGCGGCAGTATTTAGCTGTATGGCCATACTCCTGGCAACGTCGACATTGTGCAATTTCACTAGACTTTCGCATCCTTTCGATCCGTATTTTCTGTCGGCAAAGGGTCTTCACGTGATAAATTTCATTAATATTAGGGCAGGGCTTAATGTTAATGAAAAAAATATTGAGTTTTTCATCTTTATTAACCCTTGAACTAGGGTTGTGAATGTGAAGTACTTCATAGCCTAAACATTTCAGATCGGCCGTTATATCTTTGTTTTGTGTGCTGTGATGTAAGTCCCTTACTACAATTCTGTGTGCTTTTTCTGTCAGCATTTGGTAAGTGTGAAACTGCATACCAATTTCATCCATATAGCTAACAATTTTTCTGTAAGTGTCACTGTCTTTGGGAAATATTCTGACTGTTTCCCCTTGGTTAGCTTTGACTACGACGTTATCTAGACTTGCCTTTTCTTGTATGAGCTCAAATAGGTCATTTAAGTTGCTAATATTAACAACAATTTGGGGTGGTTTTTTAAAATCTTTGAGTTGATTGTTGGCGTTAGATGTTTCCTGGGATTTATTGGCAGTATTGTTTTCTGCAGATTGAAATTCGTCCATGCGGGCACTAGCATCATCGGCATCCTCAGACATCATGTCTTCCCCGTTTTCTTCATTAGTAATGATGTCCGTGTCGAGAATAGCAAACCTGTTACTAGAGCTTGCCTTCTGGTTAATTGTGGGGACCAAGTGCGGGCCCTGGGTACTGCTCACTCTTTTCGGTTTAAGGATGGGGGACAGTGGCTTTGCATTTTTTCTCTTGCCTGCTTTCCGATTTTGATCATCCAGTAATCTTCTGGCAGCACCGCTTAGATTTTTTGCTGCAATGTCGGGGCTGGTCAATTGGGAACATTCTTGGTTTGCTACACTTGAACCAGAACAGATGCTGCTCATTGTGGGATTTGCCATTGTGTATATGGTGCTGCTACTGGCACTAGAAAATGTCACTGTTGTTGTGGTGGGACTGCTTTGAGACTTATTGCATGTAATGCGTTGAATTTCTGATCGGCACTCGTCTCTAATCTTACTAGGTAATTTTCCAGCTATTGAGAACATTTTTTCATGATCAATCTGCTTCTTTATAAGCTGAGAGTCATCGAAACTGTTTTCATTCATTGTTTTTATATTGTCTTAATATTCAGCAAATAATTTGCGGGCCCAAATGTCCGGAACAGAGCATAAACAGTTCGGTTTTACTGATAAGCAAAGTTTGTTTACCTCTTGTGCAGTTCTGCGCGGGGTGAGGTAGATGACTTGCCCGAAGGGCAGAAAGCACCGTTTGAATGCACTTCACCTGATGCACTTTTTGTTTTTGTCAAACTGCCGACACCGCTCAAAGCAGCGCCCAAATAAATGATTTGTGCTATTTTGAGCACAAAAGGGAATGCACCGATAAGCAAAAAATAAATCACTTTTGCATGCGCGCGACACAACCGATCTCTTTGACTGCCAGAGTAGGAATCCAGTAGCCTTGGGTGCACTTACTTATGCACTGGTCACTAAAGAACTCACTGTGATAAGTACTACAAATTAAACGATTCTTTTATAGGCACTGAAAAATGCTATATATTTTGGCTTGTAGGTGGAACTGAACCCATCTAAACCAATATTGTTTATTGATCAATTAGTGGGTAAGCAAATCCTAAACAATTCATGCAGTTCAGTTTCGTATTTAATCAATTGCTTGATAACTTAATAATACGTCTCAAATCAGTTAGTTTTGATGCATTATACTATTTTATTTTATTTATTGTTAAAAACCAATGTTTTAAAAGGTCGCTGTAGATAGTTTCCATGAAGTTTAAGCTGCTAAGCCCCAATAAAAACTGCTTTGATAAACCTAAATTTGCTGACAACATTATTTATAGTAGATATGCAGAAATTCTTTCAAACAAAGATTCATTTGAAATTAAAACTATTAGTGCTTACTAGGCAGACTAAAATATATATAAAATATACAAAGTCGTTCAGCATGAAATAATATTTAATAAAATTCTCCAGCTCCAATCCGACTCAGTTTTGATTGCAATTAAATATATTAGGGCCGGGAACTGTAAACCCAAATATATATATTGAAAAAACAGCCCAGAGTGACTGCGATCGATTCAGGAGTGCCCCAAAGTCGTTCGGTATGATACATTATTTAATTAAATTGCTCCTGCTTGGTGAAACTTTTCATTTGAGATTTTCATTTTGTGCGGCAAGTGCAACAAGCGTGGCAGCAACATCACACACACGCACACCAGCCAGTCGCTTTTCAATAACCGTGCCACATTGTGTCAGGCACTGTTTTGACCTGGCCACCGCCCTGCAACTCTAAATTGCTCATATATATATATAATATATATATATTAGTTGCTTTTGGGGAGCTAATCAACCCCCGCCCCCTCCCTTCGCTTCCTTATAACAGGCATATAATTTCGCACAACACACGCACACGCCCAATAAATAATAGCAGTGGAAACAGTAGAACCCCACCAGTAACAGATTTTATGCCGTATAAAAAGGTTTTATAAAGCGTCCCTGGAAGGCGCTATCTATCCCGCTCCATTTCGCCGTCGAAAACTTTTCATTGCGTGCCAATGCACTGGAGCCACAAATCATTTTTGCCAAAAGGGTTAGCGGTACACTAGAAGAAACTGTCCTACTATTTCGCAAAAAAGAAAGAGCATTAGCGAGAGAGTGGAACTTATTCAAGAACAAATAAAGTAATAATATTACTAATAATAATAATATTTGATGGTTTTATCAGCTTGAGTATGCGAAGGCCTTTTCAAAACCAGAACATCGCACTATTTTCTGAGTGTATGTGAGGACTAGGAGGACTTGCAACTTGTTTTCAAGTTTCTCGCTTTGTTTCCTTTGCCTTGCTTCCTGGCTGGTATCCTTTTGCGAGCTTGGAACCCCCTAATATAAATTTTGACACCTGATAATTGCTTTTCACTCGCTTCCGCGTTCTTCGCTGGATGCGACGACGACAGCTGCAGTTCTTTCACCTGCCACCCGGCGGACGAATCACCTGCGCGCCTGAAGCCACCACCACATCGGGACATCTTCCCACTCCCGCTGATGGGGGCTCGACATGCCAAGGTGGTGGGCAGGATCTGCTGGATAGTTTGTTAGCTGCTTAACTGCCATAAATTATGACTATATTTTCGCTTTTACGGCGCCGTTTAATAGACAAAAGTTCTGGCTGAGTTATAGACGAAGCGTCAAGGTTGCCAACCAGCTTAGGAAATTGCCAATTAAAAGTCTATAAAAGTGTGTGATTATATGGAAATAGACGCGGCACTTTATGCGGATCGTGCGTCTAAATAGAGACATTAATACGAACGCTTGCTTAAATATTACTTCATGGTAATTGCACCAGGTCAACTTTATGCTCGTCTTTTATTAAATCGATTTCAATCACAGATATGGATTCCATTATAATAGACCACAGATACTTTTATATTTACGAAACACTGGTAGTAACACATTTTAAAATCAACGATAATAAAAAAATCATATATGATATAATTCTTGGAAGGGCATTGAGTTGCCTCTGCAAATTCTACCTTATTCTGCAAATTCTAGGCTTATCAGATATTTGGCTCTTCATTTTATTTATTCTCTTTGCCACATTAGGCATAATTTGCACTCTCTTATAATTGTTTGTATTTCCCCATACGCACTTAGGCGACTGAATCTGCCATTGAAATCGGGTGATTGGATCAGTTGATATTGTCGACAGTGATTGTGAAGTTGTTTCTTGGGAGCATCGGAAATTGTTTTTTTTTGCGGTGAACAAGACAGTGATATAAAGTAAATTTGTGCCAGTAGCTAAAAATTATATTAATACCTATTCAGATGGTTGTTTTGGGTGAGTAAAGATGGTATATTCTTGATATTATTATTTACCAATCAGTTAGCACTTCAAAGACCCCTCACTGTTTCAAAATTTCTATATTTCTGAGTAACAAACGCTCCTCATTCACTTATTGATTAGTGCTGCTCATTATAAGTAAATAAATATGTTTTAGCTGAGCAGGATTATGTATAATGGATAGGACGTGCTTGCGATAATATGGAGCATTTACTTCAAAGCGACCACTGTGCCGAAATTGCAATATTTCTGAGTGCCGACTGCACTCGCTGCTCATTCATTTATTGATTAGTGCCGCTCATTATGCCGACAGTGAGTCTTCCTCTTACCCACAACTAATCACCCAAATGCCCAAAATGCTGAGACTGTCCGTTGCTGGCACTTGTCACAGTTTCTCCATCGGCACGAGTGTCTTGATTGTGTGGGCAGCTCCGGTCATAAATTTAATATGACACCTGCAGGACGCAGGACTCCACTCCTTCCACGGCCACTGCCAAATGCATTATTCACACATATTTTGCTAATTAGCAAAATATTGTAAATGTTTGGATTTATGCAGGCAACTCACACACACTCAACTGCGGCGGTGGGGTGTTGGCCTGTGGGCTGTGTGCTGTGTGCTCCTGGCCATCGGAGAAGTGCATCAAACTGAACCGCAATGGCTTTTGGTCGGCTCACATGGCTGGCCGGCACCCATGCCATCCCACTCCTCCACCTCCTCCACCTCCAGCAGCTCCAACTGCTCCACCTGTGTCGACTGTGTTGATTTAATGCCCATGGTGTCGGATTCTGGGATAACTGAGCAGTAGCCTTGGGCGGCGGATGGGTTGGGGCCTTTGCGGCTGCTATAAATTTTGGTTTGGCTTTCAATCGACCGATTGGAGCGGGTGAGTTTAATTGAATATTCTGCTGACGGAATGACGGGCTGCGCTGCGTTGTTTATTCCCGCTTCGAATCGTGTTTACATTAGGCGCGACTCGACTGAATCCACTGGCTCGACTTGCAATCGGATGCCCTCGCTGGGCAGGAGTATCACATGCTCCTTGGGCAGCCTCAGCTGAGTGGGCGCTCCGGGCGGCAGGCTGAAGCGGAAGCGGCACAGCAGCTCCACCAGGCCCACCTTCACCTGCATCCGCCCGAACCGCAGCCCGATGCAGTTGCGCGGTCCGTCGCCGAAGCCCAGGAAGGCGGTGGGATGCCGCTGCCGGCAGGCAGCCGGCGCAAAGCGCTCCGGGCGGAACTCCTGGGGCTCCGGGTACACCTCGGGGTCGTAGTGGATGGCCAGCACCGGGATGTGCACGCTGGTGCCCTTCTCCAGGACGACGGGTTCACCCCCATCGGGCTGGAGGATCTCGTAGTCCTCGGTGGCGAGGCGGGTGAGCGAGCTGAGGGCCGGGTACTTGCGCAGAGTTTCTGGAAAGAGGATGGTGTTTGGTGAGCACAAATATCTAAATTTGCATATGGAAACCTCGCTTATAAAATTCAAATATATTTCTGAATTTTATTACGATTCAGGAGTAAGTGTAAGCTGATCAGGTTTCTATACTTTGGCTGCCATTGAAAAGCGGGTGTCAAGTTGTCTTTCTTTTATTTCAATCCGTTTTGATAAGTGAGCAGTATCAGATAAAACTGTGGGAGTTTGTGTTTGTGTTTTCCCGATCAAGGTACACATATTCCCGATTCAGCTGTTATAGAACCCATGGGGTGCGAATTGTATACATTGCTGTTGTTTACCAGATATTTGATTCTCTCAATGGTGAATTATCAAAATGTTTAATAGCCAGTTTCTCGGGGAATAAAAGGGTTCGAAAAAAATACCCGATTGGGTAATATATGTATTTATATTTCTAACCGAGAATAGATATAACTGCAAGCTGCAAGTTTCAAAGTGCCATGCATCATTTTATAAGAAAGAGGTCATTCAACCTATGGGTATTACAGACACCCAGCAATTTTCCTATAGCTTGGCAGTCATGTTGAGCTCTATCACTAAGAATTAATCATGTCGTTGTTCTGGAATGGCTTATCGCTAATAGATAAGGCAGCTTCAGAGTTTCTATCTGTGAGACAAAGTCAGCCCATCGCATGCCTATGTACCTACCTGTAACGGTCTGGTCCAAGTAGGGCATCTCCATCATGGCCTCGTAGGTCAGTTCCCCGTGCCTGGCTAGCGCATCGCAAATCTCCAGGCGCAGCTTCTGCTGCACCGCCTGGTTTTTGGCCAGCTCGAAGAGGGCGTAGGACATGTTACTGGAGCTGGTCTCGAATCCGGCCACGAAGAACACAAAGGCTTGGGCGGCCAACTGCTCCACGGTGAGTCCCGCTCCGTTCTCCTGCCGCCTGAGCGCCAGCAGCAGGTCCATAAAGTCATTCCGCCGGATGTGCTCGCGCTCCCTCAGCTCCACCGTTTGGCGAACTATGCGGTTGAAGAACTCTGAGATGTCCGGGGGAAAGATGCGCACCGGTAGACCGAGCTTGGCCAGCGAGGTGAGGTAGGTCATCTTGAAGATGCGCCACCGTATGCCCTTGCCGTGGCGCTGGAAGATGCGACGCCCCACCTGCCGGAATTCCGCCTGCGGTTCCCGCAGGCTGTTGCACTCGGTTCCAAAGGCGCAGCTTCCAATGACGTCCGTGGTGTAGCGCGCCATCAGGTCGTGGAGCTCCAGAACAGCGCCCTAAGATCGCATTGCATTACTAAAAGTAGTTTGGTATCCAGGGTAAGTACCTGCGCGCCCACCAGTTCCTCGCAGGTGGCGCCCAGCTGCTGGGCCACCGTGGCCACAGTGCCAAACATGTACTTCATCTTGCCACTGGTGAAAGTGGGCGACAGCTTGGTCCGCAGGGCACGCCACTCCTCGCCCTGCAGGTTGAACAGGTTGGCGGTGAGGGCATCGCCGTGAAAGCTGCGCCGGTCCACGAACTTGTGGAAATCCCGAATGAGCACCGCCTTGACCAGGTCCAGGTCCAGGACGACGGCCAGGGGTCGCAGGAAGACGTAGCTGCCCGCCACCTTGGCGCTGCCCCTAAAGGCGTCGTAGGTGTCCTGGAGCAGCTCGCTCAAGTGCACCGACTGCAGCCTGGAGCAGTGCCCGAGGAGGAAGTGGGCCCGCAGCTGGGGAATCCCCCGCAGTTCCCAGTAGCTGAAGCGGTACCGCAGATAGCCCAGCAGGAAACTGAGCAGCGAGGTGAGCAGCAGCAGTGTGAAGTCCATTGGAACGGCAGTGCTCAACTGGGCGTTTTCTGATCTTGGAGTTGCTTCTTATAAGCAAGTATCTATCTATCTGCGGAGTATAGTTGCGATCTATCTGTTCTCACTTTTAGCATGCTCATGATTTTCGCAAGCTAGTTCCCAATTATCTGTTCCTATTTTATGCACACCCATGGACAATTGATTAGGTGCCTGTAACAGCTGTGCTCAACTGGGCGTTTTCTGATCTTGGAGTTGCTTCTTATAAGCAAGTATCTATCTATCTGCGGGGTAGAGTTGCGATCCATCTGTTCTCACTTTCAGCATGCTCATGATCTTCGGAATCTAGTTCCCAATTATCTGTTCCCATCTTATGCACACCCATGGACAGTTGATTAGGTGCCTGGAACAGCAGTGCTCAACTGGGCGTTTTCCGATCTTCGATCCATCTGTTCTCACTTTTAGCATGCTCATGATCCTCGCAATCTAGTTCCCAATTAGCTGTTCCTATTTTATGCACACCCATGGACAATTGATTAGGTGCGATGGGTGGTCAATACTTATTATTATTTTGCCATAATCTATAACCCAGTATGCTGTTCATGACCATACACAAGTTTTTGGCCTTTTGCTGCAAGAGACTGGTATTAACTGGTTTGTTTGGCAATGCATTAGTTAGAGCAAAATAGTAAAAGTGATGCAATGCATTTCGGTTTGCCTGCAGCGCGTGTAGAATTACGTCGATTTTACGCGCTTCGAGTTCGAAAAAGCTCCCGTGGTTACGGGCTTCAATGGCGAAAAGCTTTCGGTGGTTGTGGCCTCAGCTACTGAAAACCGACCTTCCCTTTCAAAAATACTGGTTTCCTAGGCGGTAAAATAAATCCTTATCAAATAAATAGTTATGAGTACTTATTATTTGATTTGGCACAAATTCTTGGGTCCGACTTGGGTCACTTCATGGCGGCCTGAAAGTTCCAGAAAAAAGTGCGCCTAGTTGGGCAAAAAGATAGTTAGGAAAAGGCAAAGAAGTGCACTGCATACGAAAGCGGGCAGGACAAAAAGCATGCCGTATCAAAGCGAAAAAAGGAAGCCAGTATCCACAATGGAAGCGGTTGGCTAAGTGAAACAAAAACTGGCCCAATGCTTTTTGTGAGAGGTCCGCGTGGGCTTTAACTTTAACCTGATGAAAGTGCAGCCGCAAAGTGTATGCACTGGGCGCATTTAATATGCTGTCAAATATTAATGTTGAACATTTATTGCGGCTTTACGTCATTAAGCCGATCAATGTCCTGCGCGCGAAAAAAGGTCCTTGACAATAGAAATTATTTTGTCAGCGAAAACAGCAAAAGGCATGTCGAACAACTCTGCCCATATTTGATTACCATGCATATTTCAATTATCACTTTTGCTGATGACATTATATAAATTTGTCACACAAATACCTGCCGTGAAATTTTAAATCGTGTTTAAATTCTACAATTTGCCTGTGAAAGTTTTCAAAATGGAGCCTGCCTTAATAAATATTCGCTTTTTGGAACCACAACTTCTTAGGCTCTTTGCTGTAAATGCAAAAAATAGTATAATATTTAACCACCTATAAGCCGCACTGTAAATTGTTAAAATATACCTATTAATAACACTTTGCTTGTCAGAGCAAAGGGTATCAGATAGTCGAAGCGTTCGACGAAAGCGCTACACGTATTCTTTTCTTCGTTTTGCGAAATGTTGAACATGTATTCCTAGGTTTAAATATTCATACGTTTTGGCCCCTGGAAAATCAAACGGGCTTTTAGCGTAATTTATAATGAGAAAAACACAGTGGGCAGCCGCAAATAGCCGTGCATTATAATAGAGCTCATTTCCGGTAATTCTTCAGTCTGCCTGCATATTTCCGATTGCTCTCCCTCCTCCTCCCGACATAGTTTGTTATATTTTTTTTTTGACATACGGCACATGCTCTGTTAGCTTTATTAACTGGAACTGGAGCTGGAGCCTTTATTGCCGCAATGGCCAGGAGGTCGAACCGAAGGGACAGTCGCCTGCAATCGTGCCACTTGCCAATTTTTTGCCATTTACCATGGCGTTGTGTGAAACTCGAGTCAAAATGCCATGGCAGCAATTTGATTTTTTGTAGCTCTTTTTGGTTTTTTTGTATTTTTTTTTGTGGTTTTTGTTTTCGGTGTGGTGTGTGTGCGCTTTTTTCGACTGCCGCTTAACTCTTCAGCTACTGAGGAAAAACTAGCCACGTTCCATTATACACCCGCGTCTCACACGCGGCTCCTTTAATTGCCCACTCGACGAAGTTTATGGGGGGCAGCGGCAGACATTTAATTTATTTTAATAATTATTTTTTATGTTTTGCGCTTGCAGTTGCTGCGCTCTGCTCTGCTCCGCTTTGTGCCCACCGCTTTTTTAATGAAATTATAAAGTCGCGAGACTTTTTCGCTGTGCTCACTTTTTAATGAAAACGAAAAATGAAAAATGAGAAACGAGCAATGTTTCCATGTGGGTCGATGGCGCACAAATTCACTGGCAAAGTAAACAATGGCGGGGCTTCACTTGTTTGGGTATAGTACATTTTGCGGTCCAGTAAATATTCGCTTTGGGGCTCCTGCATTATGGGAGTGGCTTCCGATGCCAATTTTGAAGTGAATCGCACCTCGTATTAATGGCGTTCCAAATGAGGAAAACCAGCTAAATCAAACAAACAAAAATAACAAAATTTAGTTGAAAATATACCACTGGCCCGCCTAATCTGCAAAATGTTTATTCTTTTATTTGCTACAACAACCATATTGTTTCAGCAACCCAAAAAGCTAAAATACATGCAGAAAGTGTTGAAATCGCTTTATTTCCAGGACTTATTCGTTTTCCGTTAATAACTGCAAGAAACGACACAAGTTTAGGGATAGGGTTTACAAGATTTAAGACGGCATTTTATTTTTACTTAAATCAAGATGAAATTGTTTATGTAATAGTTATTATACAGCTTGCTGTGCTTCGAAACTAAGCTAGAACTGGGCTAATAGTAAAAATATTCCTTTTCAACTGATTCCGGCGACTTAAATCTAATCTCGCTGCGAGTTCCATGTTGTATCAGCTGCTATTTATACTTTTGGTGTCGTAAAGATCGACTTATTTATCCATCGAATGATGCCACAAATTTAAAGAGCTTGTAATGGTGGTGTTTCAATTTTGAAAGTTATAAATAGCAACTGGTGCACTAGAGCTACAACATTTTTTGGTTTAAGCCCTCGAGCTTTGTATTCTAATACTTTGTATTTCCGCTGCGAATCCCAGTTCCCATGAATCTATACTCGTTTCATCGAAATGCGACTTAAGTTTTAAATTTAAGTTACCTTAAACATCAACAACTTTTTACAGTAAGCAACTTTCCACATAGCACAAAAATAATAGTTCCACGACCAACACGATTTATAAGGTTATTGCTTACAAAGTAGTTTATCTTAGCTAGACTAACACCGGATATCCTTATGCCCTTTGTACACTTTTAGCCCGGCCACGGCCCCAGATAGCCGACTCCCAGGATCAGCGCAAGTCCAAGGATCGGCGCAACGGGTGCCATCCGGCTGGCCCAGCCCTTCAGATCCTGCATGCGATCCAGGTCATCGGTCAAGGACTTGGCGTCGTGCTTGGTGAGGTGCGGGCTCTTGCCTTCGGAGCGGTAGGAGGCGCTGTGATCGGATCCTGGAAGGAGGAGATGGGGAGGAGATTGCAATGATTGATTGAAATATTTATGGTTCTTTTGTGGACTCTTGGCTTTTACGGCGCTGACTTAATCAACTGGCACATGCCACTTTATGGTGCGGCCTTCGTATTGCTGGGACTCGAATGTCATCAGCTGAATGTCCTTTTTCAATTATGCGCTTGCCACACGCCAACGAGCATAAACAATAGACCCAGGATGCGTTTATGGCCAGCCATTTGTACCAGGCGACAATGCGAAAGAGATAAAACGACCTCCAGTTCCAGGGGAACGAATTGGAGGAGCAGGAGGATACAGGATACACAAAACCAAACTGTTTGTCAACTGGCAGGACAGAAAGTATTGCATATAAAAGGGACACAACTTCGCCTGCCCCACTTATTTCTTACACTCCCACTTATGCCCGCTCCCTTTCCCAATCTCACTGCGAAAAGCGAAAGTATCGTCCTTGCTGGTATTTTGTTTCAATTTCACTTGGCAGCATCGAAAATTGTTTCGATTTTTATTGCTTAAGTGCGTTAAACCCTTGCGCCCTGCATACCAAATATCTGGGTGTGTGTGTGTGTGCGATTGTCCTGCAGGACACATGGCGATCGGGAACTGCGGAGTGGGCCGGCTATTGTTTTTGCCATCAATTTATCGTGCAGTTTGTATTTTTTGCGAGTCGTCCTTCTTTTTTGGCCGTTTGTTTGCCCGGAAATCTGGTTCATTGGACATTTGTTTGCCAGTTGGGCTTGGCCCGCTTGGCCGTTTTTTGTCCCCTCGATTTGACTCTGTTTGACTTTGACGTGAGGCCATTGGTCATTAGGTGCATGGCAAACAATTGCTTGCGGGATTTGGGCTGGCCCTGCGAACCACCACATAATCCAGGTGGTGTGCATTTCAGTTTCGTGCCTAACTGATTGAAATGGAAAGTAAGAAATTAATGAGTATTTCAGGCAATCTACCATAGCTACCACATATGGCTGTCCTTCCAGTGGATAAATAAAGTATTTAAATGGAGAGGCAGTCGCAGTTGCTGGCAACGAGGACTCTTGGTCCTTGAACCGTAATCGGCGCAGTCGAACTTCATTGCAATGAACGAACTTTGTCATAACTATGAAATATGGTCCGACGGCTGGTCCTTCATTTTTGGTCCATCCAGGGACTTTTCGAATTGTTTTTAACGAGAACCCTTTTATTTTTATAACGGAAATGCGCAAATTGCTTTGCACCGGGCTGCCAATGTATTTGTCTGTCGGTGTTCCCATTGCTGTTAGTGTTGGTGTGTCTCTGGCTTTTTTTTCTCTTTTTTATTTCTCCATAAGCAGCTTTCCACAAAACTCCTTTGCGCTGCCATTCCTGGCTGGTGTTGCCTTGCTTATTTTGCTGGCGTCTGCAAACATTTCCATGTGTGAACGCAGCCAACACCAACACGCATCGAGTCCTTGTTTGTGCGCTCTCTCTCTCTCTGTGTGTGTGTGTGTGTGCGTGCGTGTGTGTGTATGGCTGATTTTTATTGACGTTTGAGCATGTGTTTATGGGGGCGGGCTGGGAAGGTCCCAACGGTGTCTTTAAACAGCTTAGACCCGAACGGTCGGGGGCGTGTGCCAGGATGGCAAGGAAAGCAAAGAAAGCCCTGTTTGCCGGAGTATAACCATTTGGCTCAACGGAGCACTCTTAAACTACTAGGAACTTTAAGTCATTTTTGCATAATTCCCCGGACGATCCGCGGGGAGCAATTGGACTAATAGATTTAAACTGCGTCTGCTTCTGATGCAGCCGCATCTTTATTCACTCACGGGGGCAATCGTAAAAGTGGGAGTCTTAATATGCGTGTAACTACAACTGAAGTTAAACAGGTTTAACTCCTGTTGACACCATCATGACCTGGAAATCAGCACGGAAAGTGCCGATGTAAAACTTTTCTGATGGCTGCCGTTCACAGCTCTATATTACAGCTCTATATTATTTTAATACCTTTTACTCGTAAAATGAAGGGCTGTAAAACTATGTACATAACCCTTTAGCTGAAACTCCCACACAAACATAACAAATTATGCATTCAAAAATGATACGCAATAAATCTTGCATATCTGCACTTTCCTCGCACTTCTTTGGCTGCGTAGCGGGTATCTGATAGTCGAGGCAGCCTTCTCTTATGTTACTTATGTTACGTTTCGACTTGAACTCCATTTGGCAGCGGTTTTCACACCGCGATTTCCGAGGCTGCTGCACTCTGCACTTGAGACGCACTTGCTCCTGCCATGCGCTGTATTTATTGTGCAGCATTGCCCCCTTGGCGTGCCCCACTTGCGCCCCAAAAGACTGTGGCAACCATAAAATCGCGGGGCACGCGATGGCCATTCGGATCTGGCTGTCTGTTGCATTTCATTTACTTCATCGTTTCTCACTTGGCTGAAATTATAGGCAAATTATTGCCAGACACTGAATGCTGAAGTAATCATCCAAGGTCCGAGTTTCCGTGCCATGTGCAGTCCGGATTTCGCATGTGAACTCCCGGCCGGAGCAGAGCAATTTTCTTTTATTGCATTTCCTTGTAATTTGTGGCATATTGTTTGGCTGTTGGCCGCACAAATTAAATATGACAGCGACAACGGAGCAGCAGCTCCTGTGGTTGATTGCAACATTTTAATGACAGTTTAAGTGGCGAGCCGAGCGCATCTGCAGCACTTAATGGTGACACTGGTTTTGTGGCCTCGGGCCAACTAAGCGCTGACTGGACGTGCGGAGGAGCAGGGGCGACTCCAGTGATAATTGGAAATTGAATTTAATTGACGTGCGGATAGCCGTCGGCACAGCTGGACACGATGAACTCGTCCGGTGACCATTGAATTTCTAGTGAAATGTATGTTGCACACAATTGAGTCGAGAAGATGGGTAATTACAAGGCCATGTTGTGAGTGCGGCGAAGTGACAGGCTTAGAATGCAGCTCCTTCTGCTGAGGCATCCTTAAAGTTGTCCGACTCCGAAGTAGCATCACTTTCGCCCACTCCGTGTGTGGAAATGTTGCCTTGGTCGTGAAAACTTTGCTTGTCGCTGGCTTGTTCCGCCTTAAAGTGTCAGCGGCTGGGCAAAAACAGTCGCGACATATGCAAAACGCGGCAACGATAAGCGAGCAAGCCACACCCCCTTCTGCTCCCACTCCCACTGCCACTCCCATTTTACCACCCCCAAAAAGGGGGTTGCTATGCAGCAATGCTGTAGTGTACCACCTACTGGCACGATATGTGCAACATCTAGCAGGTAATAAATCTAACTGTAAACGCAGCGCTTACGACGTTGCATGCAGCGCTGGGAAGTTGTCGTCATTGTGGCACCCGCATCCATGGCTCCCATTTACCCTCCCCCACGACCATTCCGAAATAGCAGCCCCCTTTGCCCCACCCCGCCGAGTGGACTGCCCCCTGCGAGGGATGCAACATTTTTGCTGGCGCTGCCAAAAGCGGCGGAATAAGTTTGGGGCAGGGGCAGCTCTGCCGCTTTGACGCCTTGTGTGCAATTTGTCTGCTATTTTTATATTGCGCTTTTTGGAGCACCCCCCTCTGCAGTGCCACCCCCAGCCCACTCTCATATTCAATTTGTTCGATTTGATTTTGTCGAGTGCATTTTATTTTTAGTCAAGCGCGTATGCAGAAAATTCCACATCGCAGCAAAGGGCCTGTAAAGTTTTATGCGTTCGTCCTTGCGGAGCGGGCGAAAAAGGGGTGGGGGTGGGGCTGGGGCAAGAAGCTTTGTCGCCAATTGTGCGATCGGGAGCAGCGGAAAATGGGGGAAATTCGGGAAATGCAAGAAATGCGGGAAATGCAGGAAATCGGAAGGCAAGTGTAAAACTTTATGCTTATCGATTGGCAGCTGCTGCAAGGAGACTGTGACTCGTCCTTTAAGCCAGCGCAGTTTCGATAGTTCCATTGGCACCTCCGGCTGAATATCTCTCTCACTTTTGTGGGAACAAATGCCAGAAAGCCCATTATTATTTATTGTGATTGTACATTACGATGGTCCGCATTAGCAGCACATTATAGCCGACACATTGTCAACTCAGCAAGCAGAGATCCCGGAAAACCTTTCCATTGCATGCTACAAAGTCGTATTTTCCCCGAAACGCGCCAAAAAAGAATATATACCAATGGACAGCAAGGGGGGGATAGAAAAACATACTTTTCTACGAGCTGCCCAAATATTTGAACGCGGCATGTTCGACTTCAAGAAAAATATGGCTCTGACAAATACATTTGGTTATCTATAAATATCCCCACTATTTTGGTATGTTACTCAATGCCTCAAAGCCCGTGCTTTGCATATATCAAGCGTCACAGTACAGGGTATCCGTCAGTCAATCCTTGCCGCATGCTGGCAAACTTTCTGGCAGCCCGAGCCAAAAGTATCTGTATCTATATCTAACAAGTGGCGACAACGACATGCCAGAGACCCTTAAGCCAAGCGGCTAAAGTCGTTATGATTTGTCATAAGCATAAAATAAATGGCGAAATATTTATGGTGTGCTACGGCGCCCCCAGGGAAGGATTTTCCGTCGATTGCCGTCTCCGAGTGGCTTAGCTCCTTTCCCTGCTCCAACTCACCGTGGTTTTGCTGCTGCTGCTGGTGGTGCTGCTGCTGCTGGTGGTGATCCCTTCCCCTCGAGGACGCGGCGGAGGTGGAGGAGTGGTGATCCTGCGAGTTCCACAGGCTGGACGTGGCCCCCACGTAGACGTTGTTCAGCCCGGACGAGGACTGATCCGAGCCCTTGCTGTTGGACTTGCCGCGCTGCAGCTTGGAGTTCTGCTGACTGTTGCCGGGATTGAAGTTGTACGGATTGCTGTTGCTGTTCTGGCTGCTGCCGTACCGTTGCTCTGCGATTGTGGATGTGTCAGCTGGGTTACGGGTGGGTTCAAGGGCGGAGTACTCACCTTTGTTGTACTTGACGAGCACCACGGGCACCGTGTTGATCGCTGCCGTCGGAGCCATTGTCGTCATCGTGGTGGTCTGGGGAATATCTGCGGCGGAATTTAGCTAATCAGCAAACTGAAAATCACCTATCACCTGCACCATAGTGTGCAATAAGTTCATTTACTTTAAATTGCCTCTTAAAGTAAGCTAGCATATCTATGATTTGCCCCATTTTAGAACCCCGCACAGCCTGCTGCTCGTAAATCAATCACTGGGGATATGGATACGGTCACCTTCGAACTCCGAACTCCGACTGACCCTTTGTTTGGGAATTTATCAGGCGAGCACACATGGCTGTCGGCTCACGCAGAGTCATTGACTTAAATTAATTAAAAGCCTGGGCCGGCCAAATAGTTTGCGCCTAATTGCCAGGGGCGCCCCGACTTACGGCCATTGTTTATTGGGCCTACGGTTATGGTTATTGTTATGGGCCACTGTCGACATATGCACGTAGTTATTGTTACTTAGCCCAATACTTACGGTACAGTTTGATGGACCCGTCGGTGTCGCCCAGGGAGTTCTTGGCCACACATCGATACGCACCGAAGTCCTGGATGTCCACCTCGTAAATGGTCAGGCGCATGGTTATTTTGTAGCCCGATTCAAAGGTTTCCGGCACAAAGCGCTCGCCTGAAAGAGGAGCAGAAGGCGGTTAGGTGGTGCGAAAGGGCTCCGGAGCCGCCCTGGAACCACAGTGCACTTTGACCCCTTTCCGAAGCAAGCTGAACTGAACTGAACTGAACCGAACTGAACTCCTGGCTCTGCCCGCCTCCACAGCCTCTTGTCAAAGTAATTTAACTTAGCAAGAAAGAACTTTGCATTCGCCCAGCTCAACTCAGGGCGGCTTAGCTCGGCTCAAATGAGTCCAACTGGGCGAGACCCAAGTTGGTCCTGCCATCCTGCCATCCTCGATGGCTTTTAGGACCTGCTGCCCCTGTCAAATGGCTCGTTTTAATTTATACAAAAACAAGTCGGTGCTCGGCATTGTTGCCTGCCCCGTTTTTGTTTGTCATGCAGGTTTTGATTTACGTTTGATGTCGGTTAGATTTAGTAGCACTAAGCCGAGCATTACATTTCTACAGGTTCGGTAATTGTTATGCATGCCGGTTAGGCGACTGATTACTTCAGCAAATACCATTCTGAGCATTGTGACGTAGAGATGTGGATTTCGGGCCGACTCTTGATTAGAAATAATTGGGTTTCGGGCACGGGATATTGGTTGCTGACTTGTTCGGCTGAGCTGGGGCATTTTAACCGCATAATAAGATGGCTCTTAAAGCGCTCGCTCTTGCGGTTATGGATCCTCTGACTATCTGCAAACTAAAACACAAAACTCCATTAAAATCCAACGGCGGTGGGACAGTACCCGGCAACTGCATCTGACTTGAGGTCATTTTCAATCACTTTTTCCCATTTTCTGCGCTGGCAAAAACAACTTGAAAATAACTGCAGATGAAAAAAAGGAAAGCGTTCCGTCTGCATGTCTGTGACTTTTTCCGCCGGCCTCCATGCCGATGACGATGCCTTTTCCTGTCCAGTCCAGTTTCCTGGGCAGTCGGGGGTTAAGTGGAACGTGGTGGGTCCACCGCCGCAGTTATTCGGCGACCGCGGATTCGAGTGTTCGTCTGGATGTATATTTTTTCCAGCGCTTTTTACTTGGAGTCCATAGCGTTTTTTGTCATCGCACTCAGTTCATTTCCCAGTGAAGATGAGTGGGCGAGCTGAAGAGGTTAAATGAAGGGAGGGCCTCATCCATCGTTGAAGGCCCTTAGAAAATTAAATTGCACGTACTAGACAAGAGGTTGGGCATTAAACTGCAAACTATTGAAACTGAACTGGAAATGAGATACCTTTGGTGCACGGGCTATCCTACTAATGTGCTCATACTAAAGATGTACGGCTTCTTCAAGAAGTGCACTTAGATTTGGCTGCACTAACCAATGCAATTAAGCTCGAAAGTAGCATTATCTGAGTGATTCGCTACCAACACACTGTTGAAAACGACCTAGTTCTGATTTAAAATAAATTGTTGCATACTTTTACACAGCTTATTGCTTACCAGAAGCACCAAATCCCAAGGACCCCGCCATTGGCTTGACTCACCTGGCACAATAATCGTGTCGTTCTTCATCCAATAGTTGATGGACTTGGGATACGCCTCCGACTGGCATTCCAGGGTGATGTTCTGGGTAAGGGCAGCGCCGACTAATTGATTTTGTATCCAAATCATGGGCGGAACTGAAAGGCAGCAGAGCCATCAGAGGGGGAAGTGCTGATGTGATGGAAAATATGTGGGCCGGGGTGTTGCGTCAGGTGTGGAATGTTTGAGCGATTCCAGGGCGTTGCATGGGCGATGGAACAAAGAATTCCCATTTATAGAGAAATTCCGTTCGTTATCGTTATTGTTTTCTAGTGCTTTATGCTCCCGTTTGGCTGCTCGCTGCGGTTGCCATTTATTGTTTCCAACTAATTGCTTTTTAATTTTATAGCAAAGCCACAAAAAATTGCTTTGCAATATAAGCGGAAACGAACCGAACCGAACCGAATTGTGGTTGACTAACCGGAGATGATTTCTACGGAGCGAATGGTCCGGCTTAAATATGTGTGCCGTGAACTTACCTAACAAATTGTTGAGCAATTTTAATTTTTATTTAATTAGCGCCAAGGAGCCGGGCAAAGTGCCCTGAAAATGCTAACTAGCTGCGAGCGCGGGGCGCGGGGCGCGGGGTGCTGAGCACACACTTAATTATTTGCTTTATGCTGGCACCTAAAAGTATACAGCATTTTCCAGCCACCGCCCGCCTCCCGGGGAAAATTAAAATGCAGGGCATATTTAGCATGGCAAGATTTCGAGTGGGACTCTGTGTGTGTGTGTGTGGTAGTCTGTGACTGTGTCTGGTGTTTTCCGCTGCGGTCTCGTCTGGAGGAGCCTGCATCCTGCACCCTGCAGCCCGCCAACGAGCAGGACGCAGGACGCAGGATGCGGTGCCAGAGCCTGGCGCAGAACTATAAATATTTAAATATGCTAAAATTGATGGGCCGCCCCGCCCCAAATACTCACAGTGCACAATGAGCATCACGCGCTTGCTGACTGTTGGCGGGATGCCATTGGAGGCGATGCAGAGATAGGCGCCCATGTTCAGGCGGTTCACTTTGGCGATGGTCAGGAAGGATCCGTTGTAGGCGACGGCTGCGGATGAAACGCACAAAGATATTTAGATACATATATAGCGCAGTGGAAGCGTTTAATATCATTGGCATTTCTACTGCATGGCGGCAATCACTTTTCTATGCCATATTGCTTATCAGCCGGAATGTCTGCGTCATCTAGTTTCACACTCACTCCCAAGGGAGTGCTCCTTAGCTCGAGGATAATCTGCATATTCGGGCACACACACACGGAGTCTGGCAGCTAATCATCGCGTTCTCATTGCTTATGCAACTGGGAAAATCCCACCAGCACTACAAGAAAATTGTGTCGAGTGCAAAGGTGCCTGACTTACTTTCCTAATAATAATAATCTAAAAATTTGCCAGGTATGCAATACGATTCGTATTCAAAAATTAAAGCCAGAAACCTATTTTCCATTTCGTCTAAATTTCAAGTAAAAGAATGTTCAAGTTTTTCCTGCAGTGAATCGCATTCACTCCGACGGAACTCATCTGAAGTGAAATCCTTCTGACAATTCCAGGCAAAGATGGAAAATTCAAATTGCACGGAGTCGACATGTTTGCCAGATTCACCCCTGCGTTTTTTGCTCATTGCATGCTTCTTGTGGCAAACAAGTCCTTGAAATTTGGCAATAAATTTGAAATTTGGCTGAGCACAGTATCGCCTGGTCGAATCAAATTCGATCCTATATTAATCTGCATGTAGCGGCTATTAAGGGCAAGCCAAATTTCACTCAAGTGGCAAGCAATCAAACCGCTTTACGTGCAGCAACCTCAATAAAGTAAATTATGCCGCTCCGATTTGTTACTGCTTCGAGCAGCTTCAGCAGCACACACACACTCGAGTTAATTACCGCACAGAGGAAAGTAACTTTAAAATGTTTTGTAATGAAACTTAATGCTGCGGAAACATGCAACTCACCCTCGGCGCCATTTGGCAGCGGTATCAGTTCGCCACCTTCGCGTCGCCAGGTTATCGTCGGAGTTGGCGATCCCGTGGCGGCGCACTTGAGGGTTACGTTGGAGCCCTCACGTATTACCATATCGGTGCTGGTCGGATAGTCCAGTATGTCGGGGGGCACTGTTGTGGATTGTGGTGGCCGGAGCACGTGCGCCCACGTATGCGGAGATACAAAGTTTGCAGGCGGCGTATTATTCATACGCAGTGTGGGCCGAGTGAATTGCGGCGGGGGTTCGGATGCATTGCCAGTTTGTTTGCGGTTGATGTTGAAGTTGAAGTTGGTGGCGTGAAAGAGAGAAACGTAGTAAGAACATTGTCATCCGGTTATTCAAGAGGCTGGCTCTTAAATTAGGTTTATTGTCTTGGCAACCTTTGAGTTCAAATGAAAGCCATTGCTGTGCTGCTGCTGTCTCGAGATAAAACAAAGATTTGCTGTAATTAAGTAAAATATTTTATTTCAGTTTTGCGCTAGGCAATCCAAAAGATAGCTGAACACTTTGCAGTTCCCTGCCATGGAATACTGGAGGGCTTTATGTCGCTGTGCACCTTTTGCGGTGCACTTCCATTAATTATAATTGTATGCCCGACTACTCTGCACTTGCCAAAAAAGCGGACACAATTAGAGGACTTAACTGAGTGGCGGAAAATTAATGGAACCATGCTGTTTCAAATGTTTTATATTTAATATTCGCAAAGGCGACACGCATGTACGCAACAATCTAGTTATTCTACCTTGAGCATTTTCCCAAAATAGAATTAGGTTCCGGCATGATTGGCTCTATTAACGCACTTGGCTTTCCCTTTTATTGAATTTGATTTGCAACGTCGTCGCACGTTTCAATTTTACTGGAAAGCCGCCCAAAAGCCAACTTATGACTCACACACAATGTGACTTCAAAGTCTTCATGCCAACAATGATGTGCATGTTTTACAAAATGTACTTTGACTTTTCGCCCCGGCCCACACACATCCGTATACGTCATGTCCTACAAATTGAATGTAGGCTTCGCTCCAGCTCCAGTTCCAGCTGCTTTTTCCAGTGTTGACTTTTCCTTTAATAGCCCGACTCGTGTCACAAAAAGCTGCCGTGTGGGCGGCTGGCCTGAGTGGGCGTGGCTGGCAATTTCTTTTCTTCGCCGCTGTTATTGTGCACGGCAGCGTTGATATGAAATCAGTTATGAAATCAGGTGAAATGATGTGTGATTAAATTGACGTTACAGAAATTAATTTCAATTGGTTTGCGCTGACGGCAAATGGCAGATATGAGCCTGACTGATTTTAGGATTATCGATAAGAGCTTAGGCAATTGAAAACTTTACGAACTAATACGCTTTAATATGCAATTGGAAAATAAATAAATCGGTTTTATACGTTTGTGGTAGCCTCAGAAAAAGGACCGCAATCGCAGCCGAAAACATCAGCCATTTCATCGATTCATCATATTTTAAGCTCTATTGAAATCAGCTCGTCCATTTCTGCGGCCCAAGTGCACCTTTTCGACTAAGCTCGTTTAACTATGGCCAAAACAGCAGTGAGGTCTATATAAATTATTCAATGGCTGGCTTTCCCACTGATCCCCACAACAATCATCGCTTAAAACAACAAACTATCCGGCAAACAGGGAAAAACAAGCTCAAAAAGTTCAGAGCCAAAATAAAGTGCAAAAATACTGATATTTGTATAAAACTTATTTTTTGACCTTATTTTGGTGGTCTTCGCCTCTTTATCCAATATTCATTTCGGCTAGATTTTTGCGAAAGAGGGTTCATTTAGTTGGTGGCCAGCTCTAGTTGACCATGTTTTCATGTGTAAATAATGGGCCAATTTTATTAGTGTGATTTTGCCAAAAGAAATATTTTAGCCCAAGGGCGAAGATAAAAAATTTGTGCTATACACGAAAATTGAGGAATAAAATATGGTTTCCCAAGCTTAGGGAAATGTCCTGTGTATCAGCAGTACCTAAACTACACTATAAGAAAATGAATAACGTTTACTTGTATTTGACCTGCCTCCAATCGTTGAGCCCCTTTTCCCATATGGATAAATTTAATGTATTGCTCTGGCTTAATTTATTTCTAACCCGTTCGCTGTTGTCAACTAAATAGGCGTTAACCGGAATGACACATTTCCTCTACAACCATAATGCCATACATTATTTCCGCCTATTAGCATACAAGCAATTTAATATTCCTTGATAGTATGGCTGACATAACGATTTGGGCTTTAAGTGCTTGGTTGAGTCAGTACCTGTTCGTTATCCTAGATGAGGTCACCACTAATTCGCCTATTATCCGTACTCCCAACCTTTTTGTCAAACACGCTCATTGAGCTTTCCCTTACCAAATCCCAGCGACTGGATTTGAGTTCCGATCGCTTTCACGCCGCCGTTTATTTGCTTATTCGCGGTGTGGAAAACTACAACCGCCGCTGACAACAATAATAGTTGGTTGCCATCGCGTTGGCTGAGTTGTGGGTGGTAGTGGGTGGGCAGTCGGGAAACTCCATAATATCGAGCACTTTGTCAGTGGCAGCTGGAAAACCAGCGCTGATTTAAAGCGGCTTGCCATTTTGCTTACGGACTTAGTGCGGCTGTGTGTGAATTGTTTCCATGGCGGCGTGGCGCTCAGTGTATCGGGCAGAAGGAGTGGGTCCTTAATGAATTTCAACATCAATGAAAACACAATCAACCAGAGTGGTTACTTATGCGGATGGAGCGAGGCCACCGGAAGCGGGACGGGTGGACACAAAGCCCCAGCTCCGCAAAAGGGGCGGCATATTCATTTTAAATTCGCCTACGGGGCGAATCCTCCGCCAAGGTTTGAGGCTCTGAGGTTTTTCGGTGCCGCTCCAACGTCTACGCCGTCTGAATAATTAACGCCAGGACATGGACGACCTGGACATAGATGTGGATGTGGATGCGGATGTAAATGGGACAGGTGCACGTAGCATGTAAATTGTTTCATTACCCCTCGCGCTCCTCACAGTTTGCGGGCCGAACTAATGTGTTGGTTAAGTGAAAACTTTTCCGCCACGGAGCATGGCTTAAGTCGAATAACAGCTTCTGCTTTTCGCAATTAGACTCAATCGAGGGCCCGATAGTTGGAGTTGCACAACTGCGCTTTCCCAACCCACTTTTCGCATTCAATTGCCACTTGGCCGAGCAATTAGTGCAATTCGAAAAACTATCAACAGCAACTTTGTGCTCGCTCGAGTTCAGCCACTCAAGGCAAATTACAATTCATCTGAGCTCCCCTCAGACTCAACTACACATGTATAAATGAATATACATGCATCAACTTTGATTGACGAGCTCTATTTGCTCCATTTGGTTAGCCAAAACGGGAGTGGGGACCTGGACCTTACGCAACCTTTGGTGTGGAATACTCACCGACAACGTCCAGATAGCCGACTTGGCTCTTCATGGGATCCGTGTTTATTTGGCACATGTACCTGCAAGCGATGCGCATGAGATTTGGGTATTTGATGGATATCTGCAGATGGCAGCGGAGCATTGCAATTATGTTGCCATTTTCAAGGCAATGTATGGGTGTATTTCAAGGAGCCCCTAGTGGCAAGTATGCAACTGGGCAGGGGGATACATTACCAGCCTTTATCGGACTCCTTCACATCACGTATACGCAAAATCCAGGCACGTTTCTCGGCGTGAGTTATGCTCATGCGATGATTTTTGGTTATGACGTGATTTTGTATCGTTAAAATGGTCTGTGTATCGACACGTAGCCACGCAATCTAGGAGAACAAGAAATGCACAAAAAATGAGTAGAGAAGCCCTTTATATTTGGGTACATTTGAGTTGTAAAACTAAATCGTTCAGCGATTTCCTCGTCCCAATACTAATGCCCCAGTGGCGTGGCCAGAGCTCATTTATTACTCCCAGTCCCACGGGCGGGAAATGTGGAAAAGTGTCGTCAAGGAGGTGGAAAGCGTTTTGGATAATGCGACCAGTGCAAATGGGGCCTCGAGTTAAATTGATTTTAACTTTGTTCTATATTCTTAGTACTCGGGTTGACAAAGAGCTTTCCTTGCGGCGCCTTTGTCATCGGGGGTATTATGAAATATAGCTCAAAGAAACTGCAAGGAGCAACGCACCGCCCGCGTTTTTTGTGCCAGATTCAGAGTATTCCAGATTGCATAGCTTTGGGCTTTGATTGCTATACGGTCTGGGACACTTTAAACGTGGCATCAATCCTATTCAACTGATGGAAACCTGATTCATGGGTCGAGTTACCATTGATCACCGGTTACTGAGGTTGTGCCACATTCGGCTTCGTTTCCTGGCGATCAAAAGAACTCGACTCGGCTCGAATCCCAGTACCTCCTTGGGGCACTCAAGCTATAAGGTAGAAAAATTGTTGTCTTCCACACTATTCGGACTGCAGTTTAACTATCTTTCAATTTGTTTGCCCCCACGCAACAGTGACAACGATAACATCGTTGGGCCACACAATACACTACAAGGGCTCCAATAACCTGGCCAGATATAATCAAAACGGACAAACAAAATGGGAAAATACCCTTGCTATTTCGTTTCGGTTTGTTTACCTTTCAGTGTGTCACGAAATCAAAGTAACGCCCATGGGCTCCGGAACGTGCCCAACAAAAGGGTCAACTCAACGTAAAAGCACGGCACGCAAGGGCAAAAAACTAGGACCCCCACTAGGCCACGTTTCAGCCGATTATGTGAGAATGGTGACCAAAATGTCCTCTTAATGCCACAATAAATGATACTAAATAACACATGAGTAGTTTTGGACCAAGCAGCACAATTTTTGATTAACACAGTACCTTTTTTGGACTAAACACTCACCTTATAGGTCTGCAAATTGTCGACCACGCACTGGAGTACCGCCTCCCGACTGACGGGCACCGTCACGTTCTGCAGGAGTTCTCCGAACTTGGGAAGATCTGGAAGAGAGGATGTGGGCATCAGTGCTGCTTGTTCTTAGTCTAATCTAAAACAAGGTACATATCAGGTTGTTTCCTGTATTGGATGATCGAAACATCTGTATATACCTTTGTTCCGAATGGACGAAAGAGCATCTTCTAGTTGGTTACATCCTTGCGTTAGTGATCAATCAATAACGTTTTGGTCCCACTTGTCTTAGAATAGGGGAGCTTAACTTGTGTGTGTTATGCTTAAGTTAAGAGCCTTTATTCTAAGTCAATTCGACTGCCAACTCTGCGCATTATGGTTACGAAGAATTCAAAAGGGATCCCCATGAGGGAAGGTTATGGTATTTTCAAGACCCACTTTCCCCTCATTTACCTGCCTAAGTGATTTAATGTAAATGAATATATTACGCATTAATTTAATTTCATTTCATTTAGGCAACCTGGCTTGGATCAGATATCAGTAGGCTGGCGGTCATTCCGCTGTGTTTAGCATAACCCACGTCAACGGCAACAATCATGGACTCGACTGGCCTGTCAGCCAGTTCTCAACCAGTCAATCAAAGTCCCAGCGCACCAACACACCCACACCCACACAGACACAGAGACAAACACACAGACACCCACTCACACCCACTTCGCAACAGAATGCTCAGCGAAGCGTTGGAAAAGCGCGTTGACTTTAAAGGCGCGCCCGCAAGTATGCAACAGATTTGTGGTTTGCTGCTTGGATGGGGAAAATTGGGGCGGGGCAGGACTTAAAACTTAGCCGCCTCACGCCGCCGCTTTTTGTTTGTGTTTGTTCTTGTTTGTCGCTGACATGCTCAGAAGGCTCGGCGAAGTTTGCGCTTCGCATACGCCATGGAATAAAATAATAAAATGGAATAAAAACAAGGAAAACGGGGAAAACGGGGAAAACCCTGCCAGACGGAGGCTTTTTCTCATATGCGGGGCACGCATCGGTTAAGGCAAATCAACACATAACAATCTTGTACTTAAAATGCGTAAACAAGGCGATAAGCAAGGGTGATGGCCAAGAAAGTGGCGGGGCGAATTTTTTGATGTTTATTGATGCGGCCGTAAATCTCAATTGCGGCAGCAAAAGGCGCAACATCGGGCGAACGTCCTTTTGCGAGTCCCCATCCTGTCGTTATTGTCGCCTAATCTCTTCCCAAGCATCACGTTTCGAGTTGTCAACGATACCCTCATTGCCCTCGGGTTGTTGCCGGTTGGCAACGTGCTGATCGCGGACTTTCATTTCATGGAAAATTATTTCGGAAATTACTCACATGCACATGTAGCTCTATTGCCCGATGTTTCTTAATTTTCCGACCATCGATTCACAGATCATATATTCCATAGGGTATCATTTATGAAAGTGTAACAGATATAAGCCTTTAAATTGAACGAAATAAATTCAACACGAAGCACTTTGTTTACAAAGTACTAAGACAGTAATGCTTTTAAATAGTTATTAGAATAAACAAGAAGGAGCGCAATTGCCTCTACTGAAATAGAAACCGAAATACCATTTATCCAACGCGGATTTCATGTGAAGAGCTTTTCTAAGCATTCATCTAGTATCTGCTGTGCACCTCACTTGATAATAATAATGAAAGCGAGCCCGAAGTGGAGGATACCACTAATAAGCTCGATAGCACAGGCTTTAATTCGTCGGAGGCGAAGCAGAAGGTCCTTGTCCAAACTGTTTTGTCATCGTTTGCCGCCTTTTGCCAACTCATTTGATTTGCCTCCGCTTATTGATACATCCAGGCAGCAAGGATATGCCTGCGTGTGTGGGGGCTTTTATGGCCTGCTTTCTTGGAGGCGGTGGTGTGTGAATATGTGGAAATTTGTTACATATTTTGCGCTTCGTCTTCGGGATTGAAAGTGTGATTGTTTAGTGGATTTATGGGCATATGAAATTAGGATTTAATGGGCATTTGCTTTGTATCTGAAGTGGATAAATTCCAGAGGAACCCTCGGATCCAAGGCTCTGAGTGCTTAGCATAATGTTTATGGTGTATGAAGAGAAATTGTAAGTCGCCGTTTAGGGCATGTTCTTTGGAGGCTTAGTGTGCTGAATAAAAACTCAGCTTAAGGGATTCCAGCCTTCAGCTGGCTGGGTACAACATGGAAAGCATTGGGCTTCATATGCAAGTCGAATTTCAGTTTCCTCGCTTGATATTATAAATTACTCTCACTTAGTTGCCAGTGCCTAATGGAGCACTTTCTCAAGCTCACTAGGCGCAATTTCCCACTTTCCTTCCGCTGCTTTAAACCAACTTTATTAAGTCAAGTCGACTTGACTGGCATTTCAACTTAATAAGCGCAACGGCAACATCCAGAGGCAGAACAGGCAACAACAAGTAAATGGCGCTATTTAAATGCTAAACAACTCTATTAACTTGCACGACACACTAGCACACCCGCACGAGATGTGTTCGAGATACACCCACACACTCGCATGCAGGCTGCCTCACTTTCTCCCATATCCCATAGCCCATATCCCATAGCCCATATCCCATATCCTGCATACACACCATATCCATGCCAAGGGCAAGCTTGACATTTGTCCGCCGTCTCGCTGCTGAGAAAACGGAACCTCAGCACGTTTCAAATACAATTTACAATAAATAAAATTTAAAAGCGAGAGAAAGACTGCTACGAGAGCCAAGCAACTCGTATTCAGAGACACTAGAGCGGGGAAAGCGGGAAAGCGGAAAAGCGCGGGGAAAAGCAACTGACTTAATGGCGCCGTTTTAGGGTAAGGCAGCGGGCGGGGCATGCTGGAGTCAGACAAGGAATGAGCACGTGACGACACTGGGGATAAGTTTAGGAGACATAAAAAGGACACGGCTGCAAACTCAGGTGGATGGGCTGACAATTAATGGTTCTTAGTATCGTAATAAGAAAATCAATCAGCAGGTCTTAGGAAAGATCATTTTGTTATGTTTTCGCAGATTATGGCTTCACCAATTATTTTTTATTTTATATAACGCATGCAGATTGTATGTGCAAGCCATCCTAATCCTTTTGTCCGCCGAATATCTTTTCGTTAAGGGGAAATGTGTCGGAAAACCGTATTTCCTTTTAAAACTAAATGACAGAACAAATATGGAATAAATTATAACCAAAAGCTAGCTTGCTAGTCGTACACAATAACTGTATCGAAACTGAAATCAATACCCGGCTTAATTGGCTAATGCTAAATTTGCAAGTCCTCAGATGCATTAATAATGGCTTTCAATAAACCAAGCACAGCACAAATTAATTTATAATAGTTCACTTGCACCGAATTAAGTCCATTTGACCCAGCCTCTGATTGGGTGATGTGTTTCAACCTTGAAATCATTAGGCAGCAACAGTCCGGAAAATGCTCAATGCCAGTCCTCTCATCCAATAAGGCACTTAAGTGCACTATCGTATCCTTAAAGCGTGCATTATAAGCCAATGTGCCTGTGCCTCGTCGCAGGACATAAAATCCTGCTGCAAACCCCTGCCCCCCTCGCCAGCCATGTACATGGGAATCCAAGGCGTGTGAATTGGCAATGGGCGGATGAGCTGGCATTGCAGCTGACTTACCTTTCTCGGGAATCGCATTGACGACCGAATCCTCGCGTATGTCCTCCAGTAGCTCATCCTTATTTTGCATTTCCGCTGCGAGATTTCATTCCGAGTGCCGGCATGGCAGGAAAAGTGGGAAAGAGCAATGAAACGAGAGACGGAATGTACATTTAGAGAGGTAGTTAATATTGGCTTGGTTATCCTTAGTGCAAATTCAATTTGCGGTGGGAAGTGTGTAAGGAATATAAACAGATACCCCCGCACCTACCAAATTGGCCAGCTAAAAACCCCAAAACCGCACCCAACACGCCCAGAATACCAAGGCAGGAAACTTCTCGTTTCGTGAACTTTTCCAATATTTTAAGGTCGCTTTTTCAACGCCTTTCTTTGCTGGCGCTCAGCTGGTAATTTCCACAGCCACAAAATGAAGTTGCAATTTGACTTTTGTGCAGCAGCACAAATCGATTGGGTTGAGGGTTTCCAATTCCCGCCGGTAACAGGTAAAATGCATTTTCGGCACGCGCCATAAAATATTTAGCAAATGCCAGCAAATGGGTAAATAGATTTACGTTTATGAGCACGCGCTTAGAATGGCAGCCCTCGGAAAATGTGTGCAAATACAAATCGGATAAGTTAATTAACAAGCCAATATATTTACAAACTACGAAGCCAAAATGAAATTTATAATTTCAAAAATGCACAAAAATAAACGTGCACACTGCAGGCAAAATCTATTAAAGAGCTCTTTCGCCTTTGCAGAAACGAGTTATTTCGGCGTATGAAATTTATATTTTCCCAAGGTGACGACTATTTCGTTATTGATTTCCATTCTCATTTTCATTTTCATTTCCACTCCACGCCCGGCACCTTGGCACACATACTATTGTATCGCATTTTCCGGCCACTCCGGCTGCGCCATAAAATAATGTCATCTATAACCGGTGAGACCTTGAACGCGTGTCTCCTTGCGTGCAGACAGACGAGTCAATAGCGCAAATGGATTCCCATTCGCCGTGGATGTGGATGTGGCTCTGGCTCTGGCTCTGAATGGGAATGTGGATGTGGATGTGGATGTGGGTGGGGGACTGAGAGCGAGTTGAATGCCAAGGCAGTGCCGCTTGAACCGGAGACCGGAGGAATGGCACTGGGTTTTCAATTAATTTTCGTGTTGCGACTACATCTACGAGTCGAAGCCGTTTGCATTTTAATAAACGTAGAGCACATGCTAACTGGGCAGGAGACGCCTGCTCCGGCTCTTCCGGCCTTTCCGACTTTTCCCACATCTGTCGCAGCTGGCTGGCAATGCAAATACATTTTGTGGTTGCCGCAAACGCACAATAGTATGCAATAAATTCGATTTCTCGTTCGTATGCTCGGCAAATTGTTGGGAAACTGTTGGCGGAGGAGGGGCAGGAGGCAAGAATCAACTGCTGGCGAGCAAGTTTTGTATGCCACTGGATCTGGCTGCTGTTTGTAATATTTTGTGTTGCATACTTGCAGGCGCCCGCCACTTCCCATTTCTCTGGAGCCTGGCAGTGAATTTGCCGCTCCTTGTGGCTTTTACTCCACGTGCAGACATGGAAAACGCATCGAGTGGGCAACAAATGTTTTCAGGAACTGCTACGTGCCTGCGCTTCAGACAGCACGGGGAAAAACCGGAAAGAAAGTGTTCCGAAAGTTGCCCAAAAAGTTCCCAATTCTGGTCCGGCTTTGTTGCTCTTCTTGTGCCCGGTATGACGTGATTTGCAGGCAATACGACGTGACCGTGAAAGATTCCCAGCGCGACCTAATGATGGCGGACGGAGGAGTCGCGGCTGTTGGGGATTGGGATGCCAGCAACTCTGTGGCAATTTCGAGTCAGAAGCAATAGAACAGCTGAATCTTTGATAAGGATTCGTGGTTCAAAGAGAAATATTGTCTGCCATTTTTAGGGAAACCTTGGAGCAGAGAAACTATTTGGATTGTTGAACTCAGCACACATACACAGACTTTTTTAATTAACTAAGGTGCAATATTTGATAGCCGTTTCAAACATTTTCCCAAGCTTGTCTTAAATGGCAGAAAGTTTTTACCATGACGAGTTATTTTCCAGAGGAGAATTAATTTACAAAAATCGTCAACTGCTCATTAAATAAGCCATTTCGCAAAAAACAGGCTACATCAAATAATAAATATATATACTTTTAAAATGAGCATGCCATGGGTTGTTGTAGTTAATGAATGATTTTTTAATAACAACATTTAATCGTGACCACTTTTTGTGGCTTCCCAAATGAACGCCAAAATTTATATTTATTCTAGTCCGCATATCCATACAGCTTGATATGAATCGCTATTAATCTCTTTAATACACTTTAATATGAGATATTACACTGAAACCAGCGCACATAAAGATTTTTTTCAACTCAGCGAATAAATGCGTTAAAATAGAACGAATGGGGATTTCTCCCCCGATTTAAGTCTACGTTTAATATATGAATATTACCTAAATGTAAGTTAAAGCGCGCCGCTTTTCATGTCCACTTAGCTGCACACCTCCAGGCTGCTCTCATTTTCCTGCTGTCTAACCTCAAAACTTCATTAGCCAAAAAGCACGCGCCGCCAAATTGAAACGACAGAAACAACAAACGCAAAAATATCTTAAAGGAAGGAAAAAAAATGGGAAGGGGAGGAGGGCAAGGGAAGAGTGCGTTGAGTGCTATAAATTGCACGGCGGCAGAGAATAAATGTAAAGTAAATGGCGCTAATTCAAAGTAGATTTATTTATTATGCCATTTTTCCGCGGCCCAGCGCCAAGAAATATGCCTTAAATTTGCCATCCGAACATTGTCGCTGGCAGACAACGTGGCAGATACTGAGCGGAACCGGAAGAGGAACACGCAGTTGCGGGAAGCAGGAACAGCACAAAACACGGCGAAGGCGTAGCCAAAACAGAACTAAAAAAACAAGGGCAAACAAATGAAAATACATACATATATATTGCCAGAGCCCCAATTATTATGCAACAAAAACGCGAACGAGGCTCGAACATCCGCGGACAGCTCTAGGCCCTCTCCGTATTCTGGGCAATCTCTGTACGCCGCCTATCTGCTATTTGCGCCGGATTGTGAATGCTGAATGATGAATGGGGATGGGGATGGAGGATGAAAGGGCCTGGGAAGACGAGCACCTGCTGCCGGAGACAGCCGCTGTTGATTTGGCTAACGCACTTAAGCCAATTCGCTTTCAGTGTCTGCCCGGCGGGCCAGATGATTTATTGGCCTGCCAGACAAGCGGCGGATTATCATTTTCGGCGGTGTCAACAACTGGCCGAAATTTGCACAAATTTGTCTATGATTCCCCAGTGTTTGCCAGTGTTTGCTTGGCCCGGCTAATGATGCCAATTAGCCGCATTTACACGGCTCAGCGGGAGGAGAGCTCTCGGATCCAGATGCGCCTTATCCGAGCGCAACACCTTCACGGCCATTCCGGTCATCAATCTCTCGCTGGCCAAGTTTCTAAGCCAACTTTGGCAGCACATCACTTTCCGGACGTGAGCCAGTAGTCTGATCTTTCGCTGCTGCAAGTTTCTTGCAATTTCCTTGGCCCACAAAGCGCTGAAGTTCCGAGAACGGCGAAGTCTTTCAAATTAGCAGTCCGAAAACTAATTCCCTCTGTATTCACTCTCAATTTCGGTTTGTGTATTCGACTTGGGAAACTTTGGGGCTAATTGAGCTGAGCGGCATTTTTGATGTTCAAAATCAACAATCAGTAAATTTAATTTGACTGAGCACTTGCAGGCGATCAGGTGGGGGAAAGGGCATCTTCAAACGGGCGGCGTACACAAAAATAGAAGCTTTAACAGGTACTCGCCTGGAGGCAGCAGCGCAAAAGCGCAACAGCAAACGGAAAGAAAAACAACAGCGGGCCAACATAAAACACAAATTACAAGAACTAAGGCAAATAAACGACAACAGAGCCTCAAAGGCCAACAGCCACCGTGATTGTTCAGTCACAGCCCAAACGCCCACCGCCATCCTCTTTTGATTACCGCTCCACTCGGCAGCTCATACGCTTGACTGCCAGGACTTGCAGCAAGCCAGCGTGAAAAAAGCCGTGCATACTTTTAGGTGCAGGCGAAAGCGTGTGAAAAAAGTCAACACGCACAAAAACGAGCACCAACACAAGCACACACATGGGCATAGACAACCGGAAAATGGGTGCGAATAAAGGGGAATTGACATAGAAGACACAGCGCGCGGGGGCGGAAAATTTCTGCAGTCCATGGGAATTGTTGAAAAATTGTCAAACAATCGCTGGCACATCGGCGGCAATTGCTGCATAGAACGCGGAGTGTCTCGACTGCATGATACCTCACATCCAGCAACGAAGTTATTCCAGAGCAAACTTTCTACTTAGAAGCAAGCTATTTTTCACTGTGTATTTTAAACGCAGTGTTTGTTACAGAAATTCATATTGATGATCCCCATTTGTAGCCAGACTGCCAAGAACTAGAATATGCCCCACTAACGTAACGGGTGAAAACGTCAAATGGAAATGGTGAAAACGGCTGGGGTAAGCGATTTGGGAAACCATACGAAAATTAAATTTGACTAAAGCGCAGCTTGGCCCCGAGCTGCAAACCTAATTGGAGTTCATTGTCACAGGCCGAGTCGTCATAGCTGGTGCTCACTGCAGTAAATGCTAGTGCCTTTAAGTGGATAAAAGCGAGCAGCAAATTGATTTAAGGTCCTGATTCAATTGCTTTGCGTTATCTCTTTTTGGGTTAATTAAAGATGAATTCCTAAATTAATCAGCACACTTCGGGCCAAGTTGGTTTTAAATGAATAAGGAATTTGAGCAAATATCTTGCATGTTATTCCACACTATGGAATACAATGAAGATCATATGGACTCGCCACATTCCTTCACAAAAACAGTTTCAAATTATAACCCACTTTTAAGCCCGCATGTAAATCCCCAACAGTGGAGGCAGTCCCATCCTTTCGTAAAATTCTTGGGTCACACTGTGAATAGTTGGTCATCATGTCAAGTCATAAACCCAGAAACTGACGACCCAAAGTGCCATCAATCACAATGTCAATCACTTTTTGTCATAAGTAGACACGGCCACAATCGCAAGCACACACACATTTGCGGCGGAAGAGAATATATTTTCAGAGGTTGAACATTGTGTGCAATGTCAACGTTTGTCCACTTGTTGAGCCGCCCTGGCGGAGCGAAGGAAGCCAGGAATGGGATGTGGAGGCGCAGGACTCGACTTGCTGCCCACAGGCCATAGACAAAGAAAACTTAAGTGGTCACTTGTGTGTAAGTGTGTGTGTGTGTGTGTGTTGTGAGCCTGGGGGCAGTGGCCGGGGGTGGGGGTGGCCAGGGCGCGTGGCGGGTCAGGAGTAAGCCAGAATACGCATACGCCATGTGTGCCCTTAATTATGCTGTGGACTCTGGGCGGACAATGACAACTTAAACAGCCACTAGAGCTAACCAAGCACGTGCTCCTGGAACTCCGCACCCCGCACCCCGCAGCCCGCAGCGTTGCTCTTCAGTAGCCCAATATGTGCTCAATGAGCCAAGCTGTTTTTTGGGCCCAGCCAGATGCCAGTTCCATAATTCACTTGAAATAACATCCAGATAGCTTTGGCGAGGGTGCCGAGTCTAAGCCCCTCAAAACTTTTTGTTACCACTTGGCAAGGGCGTCAGAGTTGACATTGTGACCGGCACTCTGCCGCTAAATCAAAAAAAAAGGGAAAAACGTTTAGGAATACGCCAATTCAGTTGGCTGGCCAAAAGGGAAATCTACCTATGCAAACAAATTACAAAGGATAATTGAACAGTTGAATGCCTGAAGCAACAAGCAGAAGGTTGAGAGCTATTAAATCATTTTAGTTTTAAGTAACAGGAGCACAGTTTCGTACCATAACAGATAGTTTATACAAGACAAGCAAAAAACGATAGAAAGATACTTTGAAATAAAGCTTAATCTTTACAAATGTGTGTTTCCATCTTAAAGTGTATGAGGTATAACTAACTATAAGTACGTGAGGTATCTTACCCAGATGGTGGGCGATGTGATCGTGCTCCTCGGACTCGCCGATGATGAAGTCCTGGTGCTGGTGGTGCAGCTGGTCCAGGTGGTGCAGCTCCCCCTCGTCGTCGCTCTCCTGGGCGCCACAGCCGGGCAGCGAGAATGAGAGGCAGATAATCGAGGCGACGGCGACGGCGGCGGTGGCAGTGGCAACAATTAGCCGGGAGGATACTTCCGGCATTTCTCGCTTCCGCTGCAGCTTCCCCGCCGCCCGTCTGTTCCGGCGACCCGCGGCAATTGTCGCTGCATCCGCTGTCAGCGGAAATATTTTAATTTTCATTTTTTATTTGCTAGCGCCCGTCTCGTTTCGCTTGCTAGTCCTTTTCGTCCTTCTCACAATTGTTTGCCTCCTGATTGCGGCGGCTCTTGGCAGCTGGCGCAAGAATAGTTGCTTCACTTTCGATTCTCCGCGATTGTCAAATATTTATGGCCACCGTGTTGCTCAGCTCTGGGCCGAGAAACTGGAGAGCATTTCCAATGCATTACTGCAGACCTTGTTGCAACGCTCGAATCCCTCCGGATGTATGCCACTGAAAGGGGAAGCAAGAAAAACAATGTAAACTATGTATCAGAAATGATTGGCATGCTTTTAATTTTTTAATGCATGTATTATGGTCGGTGCGCTGCAGTAATGGTTTTCATTTTATTATTAAATATAATTTCATTATTAACGCACCCACTCAGTCCCTTAAACTCGGCTGGTGTCCATGGATATTCTCCTCATAAAATATGCAGGATTATATGTTAGGCAAACCGAGATGGGCAGAGCTGTGAACAGCGTACGAATGGTGTAAAGGGTTAAAAAGCTCGCAAAATGGCAGTTAAAAGTTAAAAAATAATTTCTTTACAAGGCATTTAATTCATGAATATTGCAAATTTTAATGAATAAGTAAAAACAAAACCAAAATTCGGAATGCACGAATTTAATTGGGCGTTGTATACCCTTTCAAAATTTGCAGTTTGGACTATTTTTGCTTATTGTTAATAAGTTGTATATATAGTTACATAATTACATAAATAACATGTATATAATTTATAAAATTTCAACATTTTCAGATTTGTCAATGCAGTGAGATGGACTTTCTGACATTCCTCTGAACTGATTTCTTTTTCATTGCAATAATAACAATCTCGCATTTATATTTTTCTAATGTAATATGTTACGCAAGTTTTATATTACTCATTTTTTCCCATTGCCATTATGGTAATAGCAAAATTAACCAGTCAATTATGCAATTTGAGTATTCGTTTTGAGTAGAAAGTGTACAAATCCAGCGTTTCTTAACTGGCTTACCCGTCAAACTAACTGGCTGCGATATCGACTAAGAGGCCCTTGAATGATACAAATAGTTAATTCAATTGCGGCAAGCCAACGAGGCGTATGGGTAACTTGACATGCTTCATTTGCCACCACTTAATCAGAATGCAACATTTTCAAACCGCAAGTCGTTTTCAGTTGCGTACTGGCGGCTCCTTCTCAAGGATGTTCCCCATTCGTTCCCACTGCCTCCACAAAATGTATCATTTTATAAGTTGTGTATGCGAAGGCCAGAGCTTTCTTTAATTGCCATGGAGTGGCCATATTAGAAGGCCCAGGAAAGGGGGAAAACTTGGCTGAAAGGAGGCGGGAGGAGGACACGGCCAGGCCAACGGGGAATCTAAGGAAACTTGAAAACAAAAGTCGAGCGCAACGCAACGGAAAGCGGCAGAAAGGCATTTAAACTTTTGGACAAGTTTAATTTCCCGTCGAGTGTGGCACATAGTAAGTGCCAGAGATGGCAAAAGACAGATACTGAGAGGGAGTTGCGGGTTTTCTAGCTTATGAAACTGAAAGCACTCTCCATCTTTAAAGAAATTGAGTGCTGGCAATCAACTAATTGCGGTCAGATCCCAGGCCACGATTTCCACGGCACTGGTCCCTTCGTTTCGTTTTATCGATGGGTCGCAAAAGGGTCTGCCATTTTCGTTATTATTAATATCAGCTCAATGTTTGCACCGTTGATCATCCTTGTCAGCTGTCCATTTGGGTGTTTCCTAATCAGTTGACCAGGTGGAAATTAATAAAAATATATTGTCGGGCTGAATTCTGTTGGTATTATTCTGTGGCCGTGCTTTTGTCACCTTTTGTGTGGCTTTTGGCCATTTATGGCATTGTGCTGTTCCTTATGTTGGCTGGAAATCATAAAGATAGCGGTCACAAAAAGCGTTGAAAAAGGGTAAAAGCGTAGATTGAACCGAGCTAATAAAAGAGATAACCAGAGAGTGCTGAAACCCTGAACGAAATGTGACAAATGACGTCTTATTTAATAAATTGGCTTAAATGGTTGACATGCAGCCCGACCACCAAATCCCTGAACAGGAAGGGGTTAACTAGATATGACAGGAGGACAGGTGACCAGTGACTTGACATTTGAGCGGAGAAATGGCCAGGAAAAAGCTGGGAGTGGTTCATTGCGAACTCAAGCTTATCAGTTTTTAGTAAAAGCTACACTGCATAACATAAATACACAGATGCATAAAACTATGTACAAAATATCATTCAAATGTTTGATATGATAATCCGATTTAATCATGGTTCAAATCTTTTCAAAATGGAATTCTCTCCTTAGTATACAGCATTCACAGTGACTATCCTAATCAAATAATAAGTTCTATTTCGAGTCATCGTAGCAGCATCCCAACTGAAATCCCCTCAAGCCGGTGTCCACCATCGCATTACGTTCGTCCATTGTTCCGCTCACCGGTCAGTTATCTTTGATAAGCAGCTCAGGGACACGGAGACCCATCTGCTGCTCCCAAGGCATTTTGGCCCGGCCAAGTCCAGCAGCATCGTAATGATAAATAGCCGGGCAGAGAATGGTAAAAAGGACTGCGAAATAGGCAGGCCAATGGGCTGCAAACTTGGCAATTTTGGGCAAAGTATAAAGTCAAGCCAATTGACACCTTCTCGATGAGGTGCGTCATTAACATTTCCATTTGATGGCCGGCAGTCGCCTTACCTTCCGCTGTTCCCATTTGGCTAGTTGAGCGGCAGCCTTTGTTTTGGCCAGGTCGCCGAACCGTCTCGTTTTGTTTCGTTCTGCTTATCGCCAGCTGTCAATCGTTAAACGACAAACAAAGAAATGCGGCCAGCAATTTGCAGCCAGCCAAATGGCGTCTATGATTTCCAACTGTCAATGGCAGTTGCTAATCCACGGCATTCCTGCTGTCTCGGGCTTTTCCGCTGTCTTGCTTCGGAAATGAAATAACAAATGATATCTCCCTCTGGACTCTGCATTTTTGTGCCCGCCAATCGTAAAGAGTGGGGTATACTGTGCAAAGGGTATGAAGGGTATACAGAGTTTGGCACATTTTTGCATACCCATTACATTAAACTGAGAGTAGAAATCCATTTTGGTTCTGATGAATATTAAGCTACGTGTGACTTGAATAAGTAAGAAATAATAAGTAATTGTTATAATAATAATCCCCAGAAAGTAGGTACCCAATAGTCGAGACAGCCAGGAGTGACAGTTTTTCGTGCTTAATATACATATACCCCAAACTAGTTTTTCGCTCAGTTCCGTCTGCATCCATATTTTCCTCGATTTCTTTTCTTTGCGAATTTTCCTCTTATCCACATTCTTTTCGTGTTTTATTTGACATTCTCTTTTTGAAAGCGTTTTGCTACTTTCGCGTGTCAAAAACTGCAGCAGAATGCCAAATAAAGGGCTTGTTTATGTCACCTGAAATGGTGGGGACTTTGTGCTTTTCATTCTTTTTTCAGCTTGCTGACTGCTGGTAATATGCAGAAAATGTATTAAATTACGCTTAATCTTTGATAGCGTTTTTTGCCAATCCAAACATTCCCGGATTGCAGATGAATTGGAATATTTATCTCTTCGAAGCGTCGTCCTATTATGCAGACCTACTGTCATTCGTTACGGAAAACCAGAAATAGTTTATCCTGTTTTTAAGCAACCAGCAAGGGTAGGCAACTTTTGTGGAAAGGAAAACGCCATTTATCTATTGTAAAAGGCGAAAACGAGTGCTTGTATAAGCGCACATTATGAGTGTTTCTTGGCCCTCTGTTTAATTAGAGCCACATCCACTGGGAGCGTTTACATCATTTGCCATAATTCATCTGTCCACTGACTGCCAGCTGCTGTTGTGCATCGCTCGGAATAAAAATCAAATCACAGCGCCGTCCATCTTGGCTGTCAGTTGCCATGATGCTTGCTTGTTTTTCCTCGCTTTGTCCCTCCTCGGATGGGAAAATTCTTTTAATATAGCAAGCCATGCGAAATGCGTACACAAAAAGATGGGGCAAAATGTTTGCTCCGTCGCCCGCTCACACTAACTAGCCACAAGCAGCATTTCCCACTGCCATGCAGCTTGTGCATTTTCCCCGTCTTGCATTTGATTAACCTACAAAAAGGCGTTTGGACGTGCGATGCAGTTCGCACAGTGGGCGTTCCTGTTTGTTGCTGCGGTTTCTCGGCTTTTCTTAACGGGCAACTTTAATAAAAAACGGTCAGCGGGCGAGGGGTTGCCGCTGCAGCGGGGAAAATGCATAAATGCATAAAAAATTGGCCAGCTTACAAGCCGCTTTACATATGCAACACGGGCGCCTGCTGTGCGTTTGTATGGGTGTGTGGGTGTGTGGGTGTGCGGAAGTGCATTGGCATACATACACGAGCACACATTGTTGCAAGCATACATTTTCCCGACACGTGTTTGCTTTCCCGCACTTCCGTTTCCGCCCAGCCATTCATGTGACTTTCCGTCATTTTGTGGGAGCACGAGCTACTCTTCCGATGCCTTGCATGTCCCTCAAAGAATTAATTATTGTACACCAAATAATTAATCAGACTGAAATGGGAAACTAACAAAAACAGCCGGTGCCCCTTTGCTCTTGTGATGGAAATTCAAAACTTTGGTGAAACACTTTGGCTCTGCCCGAAAAAATGGTGCACCTGAAAGCATTTTCGCATATTCGCATGTGTGTGCGTTTGCGCTCGTTTGTGTTTTGTGGGTTGGCCATGCATTTCCGGTTTTAATGATTATAACACAATCAAGTGCATATTGCCTAATTAGCGATCCCAGCAGCAAGCGGCGTCCAGGCCGCATAAAGTGCATAAAATATTTCCCGCACTCACAGTGGGCGCTTCATCCGCATGTGCATGTGTTGGTGTTCGTTCGCGTGCGCTAGTGTGTGTGAGTCCTCGCATATTTTATGTCGCTTATTGGACGGCAATCCACAACGAGCATGTGTGTGTGTGTGCTCCTGGCAGCTAAATTCATGTTCATGTTGTTTATACGGCATCCGTTCTGAGTGCGTGTGCGAAAATATTGTGTGTAATTGTGTGGTTGGCTACCCGTTTTATTTGATAATTTTGCACAAAGCTCCCCACCTATTCATTATCGCTGACGAGCAGCGCCCCACAAATTTGTAGTCACAACAATGCCAAACTGTTATTCCATTTCCGCCCCCAAAGTCTGACACTTGACGTGGGCTCCCAATAATTTAGTTAAAGCTCGTCCTTGGATGGTGTTCGTCCTGCACTTCAGATGCGTCCAAACTGTTTGCGGGCTACAAGCGAAGTAAAGTTATCAAAAAGTTTGCTGATGCCAAGTATTCGGCGTTTCGCAAACTTTTCTCAAATATATGAGTATGTACAGAAGTGGTGAATGCATATAATAGGGATAAACATTGCTTAACAAATTATGTTGCAGGGAACTTCATTTGTTGAGCACATCATTTAAAACATATGAATACTTTTAGCTAGCTGTACACAACTTATATTGTGTTTCCCATTCCCATGGGCTTTACTCTACTTAATTGTTTAAACAGGGGTATCGCTCTACTAGACTGCATATCAAATTCTTAATCATAACTTCTGAAGTAAAAGGAACTAATAATAACAAATGTCGAGGTCCAAAAATCTCCGAATATTGAGTGTAACCGAGTTTTGAGGTTCAAGTTGTTCCTCTTGGTAACGAGAAGGATCTTTTAATAGCTCTAAATTTATCTTGGATTACGGCAGAAGCAAAAAACAGTATCCTAAAATATACCAATCATAAGAGTGTGTGTATTTTACATGTTAGTAAGTCAAAAATCAAAATACAAATATTTGTATCTTTGTACCGTAAATTCCAACACCTTAAAGTGTTAAATTCTTATGCAATTGTGTACAATTATTGTTTTTCACCGCCTGCAATAATTTTGTAATGTTTCCTTCTATCAATTACAAGCTTTTGTTCCTATTTTTTTAGAATTATAACGCGTTTTATGGCAAACCGCTGCTGTAATGTGACACGGCTTTATGTCGTCAACCACTTTCAAAAGTACTTCATATTTTTTCACACAAAATTTCATAATATTGTTTCATTCCCTTTGATCATAATCCAGTTCTGAAACGATATTTTTTGTTGATGCTGCGCTTTGCGGGCCACTTTTAATTGCAATAATTAAATGTCAAATTAAATCCTAAATTCCTCGGTGGAATTAATTCAATTGGCGTGACAGTCAAAGTGAAATTACGAATAAAATACCACAATTTCGCAGCGCCGCTAGGGCCCTTCTATAAATGCCGTTTGCAGGCTCTACCAGCCGAGAGGAATGCTGTGATTGTTTTTCCGCAAGTCGGTCTCGCACTCTACTCTCATTTTTTTCGCCAGCCATTTAATGAGCCACGCTCGACTTGCCGCCAAGAATGCAATCAGCAGGGGAGGGGAACTGGGATGCACGGGTAAAAACAGCCAGGACCTTAGTACACAGCGAGCAGCCAGGACCGGCACAATTTGCGTTAAGCGGGCTGTGAAAAATGAAGTACCAAATTGAAGTTGGCAAGCGGCGTCTCCGGTTGTGTCTTGCACTTATTTATTTATTTAGTTCTGGCCATTCCTTCCGCTTACGTACAGTGCTGAGCTATTGTCCTCCGATGAAATCGCAAGCACTGTGTCTCACGGAATTGAATTCAAGCGAGGGACGAAACGCGAGCGCGTCGACTTTCGGCACTTTCGGCACCAACGTGTTAAGAGCTGCGAACTGGCGCGACCGTCAGCGTTGCGCACTAAAACCATACTAAACTAATTTGCTTAGCAGGACGCACTGATTACACAAAGTCCTCGAAGGGCGATAATCGCCGCCATTCGTCACGAGTGCCGACTGCCGAGCGCACTTCGTCACGGAGTTCGTGGAGTTCGGCAAGCATTCGTGAACTTGCCGAAGCTAGCCGAACTCCAAAGGCAAAGAGAACCAGGTCCTGTTAGAGAGCAACAGAGCCCGAGCTCTGTTAGCCGGTTAACAGTGCTGTGGCAGGATAAGAAACCATTGTTAGGGCAACAAAGTCGGCGCTCGTAGTAGCAAACTATTAGTCCGGTTTGTGGGCTTAAACCTACAATGAAGCTTTCCAATAGACCAAACGACTCACATCCTGGCGGGCTGATTTTTTGAGCTCTTCCCACTAATTTACCGATTTAAATGCAAAAACTCCGTGCCATCTAGCCCGGCATTCGCCAATGATGACCGAGCTTTCAATCATTTAAAATTCCCCAAACACACACGCGCGCAACACACTCTTCGCTCATCAATGCAAAAATCAAACATTATTTATGCAAATTACAAGCCATTATTATTTAAGCCAACAACCACAAAGGCAGTAATAGTAGCAACTACGAGCAGGGGAAAGGAGCTCTCCGACCAACAATCATATCCGTCATAGTCATAAAGCCAGGGGCCAGGGGGCAGCGGGGCCTGCCAATGCTTTGGGGAACCAATTTGGCAGCCGGCATAAATAAATTTTTACTTAATGTAGGTCAGTAATGTGCGCTGTGGTCTCTCTTACGCGAGCTCGCTCTCTTCGGCGAGCGGCGCTCTTCGAAGCGCTCCCTCTCTTCGGACGCAGCGCCATGAAATATGCTACTAAAGTTGCTTCTTTTCCGGCTGCGTGTGTGTAGGTGCTCGGAAATGCCATCAAGCCTCAAAGGACCGGGAATGCTTGCATAATGCAAACAGCCAATGATATTGCCATGATTCGTTGAATAATTTCAATTGCAGCTTGCAAGCTGCAGAGCAGCAATCGGTAATTGGTATTAAACAGTTGGGTAGTAAATAATTGGCTGTCACACAACACAGAAACAGGAAATAGCATTCAGCTATTTGGGAATAAGTCTGTATTAATTCTTTCTACTCGGCTTAAAAGTGAAATAAAAGGCAAGTTGTTCATTTAAAGGTCTTAAATCTAAATTGTAATATAAATAGTTTTCGAAAACAAAACAAGTGCATCCTTCGAGTCAGCACGGATGCTATCAAGATGAATAGCTGAGTGATATCCATCCACAGTAAAGGTGCATTTGCCAGGGGCTGCATAAATAAATTAGGATACCGAAAGTGAACCAACCGTCTAAACTTCAAAACTCACTTGGTTTCCCATGGATTTTTGCGTAAGTTTAGCCGTACTACAGTGCTGCCTCCTTCTCTCCCCTCAATCCCTTTAAACAGATCCTGAGAGCCACACAAAATCGTCTCCTTGTAACGCATCCTGCAACGCAAGTTGCTCCAAATTTATGTACAAACTCACTTAGGCAAGAATGTTTATGCGTTTTGTACGTGTTGGTTACTGTCGCTCATGTGGGTAGCATCCTCCACATCCATACCTTGCCATCTCATTCCACCGAATCCACTCGTTTATTTTGGCATTTCTACGAATTTTTCGGGGAAATTTTGTAATGCTGCTCTATGTCCTGAATGTTGTCTCCGGGGAGAAGGAGTGGCCGGGGGGAAAATGCCTTCTCACGCACACCAAAAAGTGTTATGAAATTTTTCTTCTGTAATGACCTAAATGCACAGGAATTTATCCAGCATTTAAGCTAATTGCTATTGCATTAGGTACAATTTAAGTTTCTGTAATTAAGCCAGCAGCCATTGCTTAGGACGAGTTAAGTAACACGAGCTAAGTTAGGTAACTTGGTCAAAATCCCTGGCATTTAGAGCAGGCACATTTAAATTTCTCGAATTATTCCAGGCGGTCCTGCCAACAGTTTCACCGTAAAGAAGTCGGCACTTGAATTCCGTCACGCCTTGACAATTCTAGCATTTTTTTCTTCACAGACTGTTTCCCTTGATCACTTCGGCTGCAAACTATACTTGGCAGTTGCATGAGGGCCAATTATCTGGCACCTAGAGCGGCGGTTTCGTTCCAGCTATTTACATATAATTAGCGCTCAACTGGCAGGCCGCTGCATCGCCTTTCGCCACTCTCGTTCTCCGTATTTGCAGAACGCAGTTTTCGTGCATTTCCTTGCAGTTTCCCACTCCAACTTTCCCTTCAAGACTCTTTGCCAACTTTGACAATGAAGTTGCAACGATGACGACGCCAAAAAACTGGAGCGAGCACGCTTTCGACAGGAGTCGATCACGAATTACCCTGCTCAATTGAGCCAATTGGCTAAACGGACCAAGCTTCTTATATAATATTCGTAAATGAACTGCGAAAAATATTTAACTAAATGATAGATGTGCAGAAATGCATTAGCACTATACGGCATGAGCTGTCTTTGAATCTGATTGTTTCCCCATTTAATTCAATATATAAGAACCGCACTATATAGCGCGTATATAAGGGACCATCGAAGGTATGCGAAAACTTTCCCAGCTGATGCCAGTTGCATGGAGGCGCCAACTTAATAAGGCCACCAAAGAGCACAGTGGGTGGCGGAGCAAGGCGGAGGGCTGGAGAAAGGATTCAGGATACAGAAAAAGGAGCGAGGCACTGCATTAAAGGCAACACTTTCTATCATTCCATCAAAAGCAGGCAGCTCAAAGCGGGATATATTCCAACTGATTGCACTGAGACGCTGGCCGCCATGGCGAAAAAACAAATTCGAACGCTCAATTGGCAGTGGTCGAATGCAGACCTCTTTGGTTGACCGACAGCTCGGAGTTTGTTTGTCGGCTTAGCAACGGGGAAACCAGCCGGCGTATTCGAAATGGGCCCTATTGATCAGCGAAAGTAAGCCCAGGCCCTTTCCATTTTTGATTCGCCATTCCCAGCTGCAGCTATAATAGCCCTCATGTTCAATAGCTGGCATCACGCGGTGGTGCAACAGCAGCCTCTTCTCCCCCACCAATTGGGTGCAGCTTTGTCCAAGGACGCCCACCTGACTGCAGTTAATTTGGCTGATGCACACGCTGTTGACTGTTTGGCTGCTGGCTCAGCTCCTGTTTTTGGCATGCGACTGCAGTCGAACCCAATTATGAGGCCTGCAGCGAAGGCTGCATGCAGCATGGCATCTTCTGCAGCGGGAATTGTGCCAGTACACCACAAAATCCCAACGTGGTATCATGAACCTTTAAAATGAAAAAAGTGTGCGAGATTCACGTAAGCCTTTGTTTCTTTTTATTAATTGCATTGTTTTTTAATTTACCACGAACATGAACGAGTACTAAGCCATAAGTCATGTGAATAATTTATTTTTTACACTTCTCTGGTCTGCCGCAAACGCAAACTCTATCCACGCAGGTGAACTGGTGCTTTTTGGTACATAAAAAGACACCCGTTCGCATGATCCTTTTGCCCTCCAGCGCCATCTGGCATTCCAAACGGCCTCTACACAAATTACCAGCTGACGAAATTGCTTCACAAATAAATGCTATTAGGCAAAGTAAGCTGGCTAATTTCGATGGCATTCTGGTGTGCACAACAACTAAAGTGGTAAACGGCTAAACTAGCTTAACTATTGATTCGAGCGTTGCAAATGTGATTTACTCGGGTTCTGATCAGCTTTGCAACGAATGCAGTATACCCTTTTGCTGTTCTAGAAAGGGAGCATATTCGTACTCTATAAAGCACATGCTATTAACTGAATATATCAGCAGCAATCTCAATAACACATTCCCGGAAAGTCTAAGGACTAAAAATGAGCTTCGCAAACGTGTACAAAATGTCTTTCTACATGCAGAACGTGATGTCAACAGCAGTTTTGCATCGACTTCGATAAATGCCAGTAGGGTTACAAAAGGAATAAAATACCATTACTTTTTTGTTTTTGCATGTGCAATCGTTTACTGAACGTGATTTGAGTTATTTATCGCGAATATATTTTCTTGCCATCGACATCTAGGAAGATTTTTTACATTTCCTTTCAAATGTGCAAATTCCTCCGGGCTGAGTCTGAAAATTTGTACTCGCCCATAGGTGCAAAAAGTACTTCGATAATTTTCTATAACCATCCTAAAAACATTCATATTATCAGATAAATTATAGGATTTATTGCAATTGCCTCTTAATTATTTGTCTGAAGCAAAGCAGTCAATGCCTAAAATAGCACACTTCATACAAAACACATATTGTGCGATTCAGATTTTAAAAAAGTCCTGACTTGAAATTTGGAATGAAAACTGAAGAATAGCTGAGTATTTTGGAGTCTAAGTAAAGGTAATTAGGAATGCAACATATATAAATAAATAATTGACAAACGCAAAGAAGCAAATCGTTTTCCTTGTGAAGGCAGAAGTACAACGAACAATTGTACTGCACCCCAGTTTAATATCGACACATTGATTGAAGTCCCGACATTTGCAATGGCTGTACATTTTATTGACTTTCATTCCCATAGCACGTACCCAGCTTTTCCAGCTTTCCCAGTTTTCCATCAATGTTAATTGACCTAGAGTTGTGCGCGGGCCAATGCTTAAATTTGGCCCGAAATTTCAGTGCCAGAAATCATTTAATGGAAAAGTTTACTGCAATTGAATCAACACCCAGTCTATTTTGCCTGCTGCATTTGTTGGTCCTGCTGCTTCAGTCATTTTTCATTTAATGGATGCAAAAAGTAAAATTGAATTTTTTTTTGAAATTTCCTCACTTAAACTCTGTCCAAAAAATCCATCGTGAACCGACCATCTATCAATTCAAGCTGACCCAACAGTTTCCGAAATTGCCAGCCTTCAATTAGCTCCATAAAGTTTAATTTTCAATTTATGCATTTTTATACTGCACAAGCAGCGGCAAAAAATATGGGAAAATGCAATATAAAATTGCGACTAAGAGAGTAAATTATTCATAATCGTTGCAATGGCTTC